ATATAAAATTTATAATTTTGTACCATAAATATTTTTTTCTTTTTCTTTAATAGATTTTGGTAGCATGAATACCATTTTTCATAGTAAGTGAAAAGAACAGGTTCTAAAATATATAGAAGATATGATAGCAACTATTATCCAATAGTTGTCAATGAAATGAATTATATTAAAAAATAAAAGCAACAAAATTCCAACTCAAGTTTTTTTTTTTTAAGGAGAAGAAAATAATCCAAAATATTAACACTAGATTACTCTGGCTAATAAGACTTAAGATGTTAAATAATGAAATTTCTTCTATGTTTTTGGATTTTCTTTCTATATATAATAATTTTATACTGAAGGGAAAATCAGAAATTAAAAGATAAACACATCTTCCAACAATCTTCCATGCTTCCCTATGGCAGAGCCTTCTATCTGTCTACCCAGCAACCATCCTTCCCTTTTTCTTTAGTAACAGAATACAAATATTATTCTGGAGATCCTCTGATTTCCTGCCTAGAACCTGGACATGATGATTGGAGACTAGCAACAATCTTGGACAACTAACAATAGCAGAACAGAAAAACAGAAGGAGCTTGTATCACCAAGAATAATATGGAGCTGTCACACCAGCTTGCTTACTTTTAGACTTCTCTTACATTGGAGAAAAGCTAAAATCTTAATTTTCCTAAGGTAAATGTGGGAGCAAGCTCTGACAGCCAAACGTAAGTAGCAAATAAAACAATCTTCCAACTATCCCGAAAAATATCTTAACAAAATAGGCTTAATTAAAACAAAATGTTTTAATTTTTGTTTTCAATGTAAAGGGCCTTCAAATTTCAGAGCATTTCAGTATGTCTTCTGAGTTAGTAGTAAGACCTACCGTACAAGCTCATCCCTGATGGGCTGAATTTCAAATAGCTAGATTATACCTTTAGAGGTAAGATCAGAATGTGTCTTTCTTAAATGCAAATGTGAAGTCAGGCATTGCTTAGTATATCAATTACACAGATCTTTAAATTCAAAAATTCCCCAAAAGCCCTATGAAAGTAAACAAACAGAATTAAGGGAGGTTAAGGGAGAAGAAGGATGGTTAAAGGGAGAGACTTGTTAAAGCTTGCAAAATTACAGTGAGATGGAAGGCGTAAGTTCTAGGCTCTATAGCACTGTAGGATGACTAGAGTTAATAATAACAAATAGTTTCAAAGAACTAGACAGAGTATACTGAATGTTTCCAATACAAAGAAATGATAAATGTTTGAGAGGATGGATATGCTAACTACCCTGATCTGATCAATATACCTATGTATCAAAATATCAATATGTACCCCATAAATATGTGTAATTATTATGTGTCAATTAAAAAAATAAAATAATTCGAATTTTAAAAAGAGCATTAAGGGAGACTATAATGGTCACCCAACTACAATAGCCAGTTACATGGCTGATCTCTGTGTTTCAGTAACTACTCTTAAACTTCACCAAGGATCTGGCCACAGAGCAAAAAGAACCCTAGGAGAGTGTGGATGCACTAATGTAAATGTATCCCCATTACTGGAAAACAATCCAATCGCATGGCATGCTGTATACGCTATCATAAACCCACTGAACTTGTTTCAGAGGCAGAGTAGTCATGGAGCCTAGCTCAGCCATCACCTCTCTCAGGCTAAAGATCGAACTAAATATTGTATAAGACATTAAGAAGAGTGCACAGGCTTTAAAACCAGAGATTTTTTTCTGGCTTGGAATCACAAATCTGATACTTATAGAGTTACTTAACACTCTGAGCCTCAGTTTCCTAATCTGCAAACTGAGAATAATACCTCCTTCCAGAGTTGTTTGGAAGATGAGAGATAAATTGTATAATGCACTTATAGTTGGCCCTCCATCTCTGGGTTTTGCAACCATGAATTCAACACATCGCAGATGGAAAATATTTTTTTTTAAGTGCTTGCAACTGTACAGAAAATGTACAGGCTTTTTTGGTCATTATTCCCTGAACAATGCAACATAACAACTATTTACACAGCATTTATAATGTGTTAGGTATCATAAGTAATCTAGAGATAAAGTATATGGGAGGACGTGAGAAAGTTATATTCCATACACCATTTTATATGAGGCATTTAAACATTGTGCATTTTGGTATCTAAGAGCGGTCCTAGAATGAATTCCCAATGGATATAAAGAGATGACTAGGCTGGGCGTGGTGGCTCAAGCCTGTAATCCCAGCACTTTGGGAGGCCAAGGCGGGTGGATCACAAGGTCAAGAGATCGAGACCATCCTGGTCAACATGATGAAACCCTGTCTCTACTAAAAATACAAAAAATTAGCTGGGCATAGTGGCGTGTGCCTGTAATCCCAGCTACTCAGGAGGCTGAGGCAGGAGAATTGCCTGAACCCAGGAGGCGGAGGTTGCGGTGAGCCAAGATTGCGCCATTGCACTCCAGCCTGGGTAACAAGAGCGAAACTCCATCTCAAAAAATAAATAAATAAATAAAGAGATGACTATAAGCAGTATGTGGAATAGTAGGTGCTAAATAAATGTCAAAAAGAAAACTCAGACCAAGGCTGGGCACGGTGGCTCATGCCTGTAATCCCAGGACTTTGGGAGGTCAAGGCAGGCGGATCACCTGAGGTTAGGAGTTTGATACCAGCCTGGCCAAAATGGTGATACCCTGTCTCTACTAAAAATATAAAAATTACCCAGGCGAGTAGCAGGTGCCTGTAATCCCAGCTACTCAGGAGGCTGAGGAAGGAGAAATGCTTGAACCCGGGAGGCAGAGGTAGCAGTGAGCCAAGATTGGGCCATTGTACTCTAGCCTGGGCAACAGAGTGAGACTGTCTCTAAACAAAAAAAAAGAAAATTCACACCACCCCAGCTACACTGCAGAAGGAGATGCCAAAGCTGTCTGCCAACACATCAGGGCCCATCTTAAGCACAAAAGAGGATACAAGCTGGATCATCCATGTCTGGTTCAGCTGTGTCAAAAAATGGGTGGGTACTCAGAAGCTCTGGCACCAAGGGGAGTACCAGGGTTGGATGCCGACTTCCCAGAAACTTCAAGCACCTGAAACAAACAAATAAGAATGCACATCAACAAATTCCTAAGTCCTATGAAAGTACTAGGAACTGGAATCAGAAAACCTGAACTGGAAATGTAAATTCTTGATCATATACTTTAGCTAACTCTATGACTTCAGATATGTCATCCAATTATTCTGGAACTCAGTTAATTCATCTTAAAAATTTGGTTATTGGGCCAGGCACAGTAGCTCACACCTGTAATTCCAGCACTTTGGGAGGCCAAGGTGGGCGGATCACAAGGTTAAGAGATTGAGACCATCGTGGGCGGATCACAAGGTTAAGAGATTGAGACCATCCTGGCCAATATGGTGAAACCCTGTCTCTACTAAAAAATACAAAAATAAGCTGGGTGTGGTGGCACATGCCTGTAGTCCCAGCTACTCGGGGAGGCTGAGGCAGGAGAATTTCTTGAACCTGGGAGTCAGAGGTTGCAGTGAGGCAAGACTGCACCACTGCACTCCAGCCTGGTACCTGCTGACAGAGCGAGACTCTGTCTCAAAAAAAAAAGGTTATTATAAAGATAAAAGAACGACAGGCCAGGCGCAGTGACTCATGCCTGTAATACCAGCACTTTGGGAGGCCGAAGCGGGTGGATCACAAGGTCAGGAGATCAAGACCATCCTGGCTAACATGGTGAAACCCCATCTCTACTAAAAATACAAAAAATAGCTCAGCATGGTGATGCACACCTATAATCCCAGCTACCTGGGAGGCTGAGGCAGCAGAATTGCTTGAACCAGGAGTCAGAAATTGCAGTAAGCCAAAATGGTGTCACCGCACTCCAGCCTGGCAACAGAGTGAGACTCTGTCTCAAATAAAAAAAAAAAAAAAAAGAAAAGAAAAGAAAAAAAAAAAGGAACTGGTTATTTAACCAACAGCCATTTCCCCCATCTTTCTTCCTGAGAGCCCTGATTTTACTCAGATATCAGGCAGGCAGCAAAGTGCTAAGAAAAGGCAAATCCAGCACATCATCTGAACCACTGTTGGTCTAAATCCATCAATGCAATTCCATTCCCATTTTCCAGTGACTGGTTTGCTGGTAGACAAGTAAGCCACGTCTAGTAAATGGAGCATGAGAGTATATTGGCTGGGGAGCTTCTCAGGGATGGTTTTGCAAATCAAAAGAGCAATGCATGAAAGGGAATGACCCTTCCTTTCTGTCTTGAGATACTATCTTATGAGGCAGCCATCTTATAACTATGAGAAGCCAACGGAACTGCAGAGAAACCAAAAAGAGCCCTGGTAACCTGCTGAATGAGCAATCCTGAAACCAACCTTCTGATTTATTTTTATGAAAAAACTTAGACCAATTGGCTAAGATATTTTTAATCAGATTGTCTTTTTTACTTGTGGGCAAAAGCATTCTAATTGATATCCTGGGTGAAGTTCTGAAACCAGTCATCTGTCTGAAACTGAGTAGCCTTAGGCAAGTAAATTTTTTCATCTACAAACTGGGATTAAAAGTCATTACTTTAGGCAGGACAAGGTAGTTGTCCTGCTCACGCCTGTAATCCTAGCACTTTGGGAGACCAAGGCGGGCACATCACAGGATCAACAAACCATCCTGGCCAATATAGCGAAACCACGTCTCTACTAAAAATGCAAAAATTAGCTGGGTATGCTGGTGTGCGCCTATAATCCCAACTACTCAGAAGGCTGAGGCAGGAGAATCTCTTGAACCCAAGAGGAGAAGGTTGAAGTGAGCCAAGATGGTGCTACTGCACTCCAGCCTGGAGACAGAACCAGACTCTGTCTTAAAAAAAAAAAAAAGTCATTACTTCACAGTGTTGCTATAAGCATTAAATGAAATAACCAACATAAAGTACTTAGCAAAGTGTCTGTCATATAGTAAGAACTCAATGTTAGCTATTATAACTATATAAAGGTCCTTTATAAACTATAAGGAACTAATACAACCAAGGTAATTATATATTTTTATTATTTTTTATGGTTTTTTTTTTTAGATGGAATTTTGCTTTGTTGCCCAACCTGGAATGCAATGGTATCATCTCAGCTCACTGCAACCTCCCCCTCCCAGGTTCAAGTGATTCTCCTGCCTAGGCCTCCTGAGTGGCTGGGATCACAGGCGTGGGCCACCACATCCAGCAGATTTTTGCATTTTTAGTAGAGATGACATTTCACCATGTTGGCCAGGCTGGTCTTGAACTCCTGACCTCAGGCGATCCACGTGCCCCAGCTTCCCAAAGTGCTAGGATTACAGGCATGAGCCACCCCACCCGACCTTATTATTTTTTATTTGTTAGGTTCTGGTTTAGAAGGTGCACTTTGGGAAGCCAACACGGTGGATCACTTGAGGTCACTAGTTCGAGACCAGCCTGGCCAACATGGTTAAGCCTCATCTCTACTAAAAATACAAATATTAGCCGGGGATGGTGGCAGGCGCCTGTAATCCCAGCTACTCAGGATTCTCCTGCTGAAGCAGGAGAATCACTTGAACCTGGGAATCAGAGGTTGCAGTGAGCCGAGATCACATCCACTGCACTCCAGCCTAAACAAAAGAGCAAGACTCTGTTTCAAAAAAAAAAAAAGGGCACAGAACCTATTTCCTTCTCTGAAGAATAAAAAAAAAGGGGAACTAAATTGAAAATATATATATCTTAATTCTGTCCTTGTAGAGTTTATAATTCAGCTGAGGCAAAGATGACCAACACTACAAGGTATGAACTATCAAATGAATGAAATTCTACTCAACACTACAAGGTATGAACTATTAAATGAATGAAATTCTACTGCTACGTGTCAAAGGTAGAAGAGATCAATACGACCAGAGAAATATTCACATAGGGGGATCCAAGATGGCCAATTAGGAGCAGCTCAGGATCGCAGCTCCCAGCGAGAACGTGGAGGGTTAGTGGACATCGCATTTCCAGACAGATTTTTATTGCCCTCAGACCAGGAGATTTCCAGGTGGAGGAGCCCCACGGGTCGCCAGTGCAGCTGTTTTGGCCAGCGTGGCAGGTCTCTGCACAAAATACACAGGTCCAGGCGCCTTTTAGCTGGTGACTGGAGCACCTGGGAGACAGAGTCGCCCATTCAACTGATAAAAAGGGGACTGAAACAGGTAGCCAGGCCAGGAGATTCCCGGGCAAAAAAGCACCACGAATCTCCATGTGGCTGTTTCAGCTGGTGCAGTGGGTCGCCGCTCGGGAAATCACAAAGATCCCGGCGCCTTTTGAACAGGCAACTGGAATGCCTGGGAGACACAGTCGCCCATTCAACTGATAAAAAGGGGAGGGAAACTGGGAGCCAGGCAAGAAGATTCCCAGGAAAAAAAGTGCCACGAGCCCCCAGAGCGACTCTTTTAGCTGGCTCAGCGGGTCTCTGCACAAAATCTCACACAAATCTGGGCGCCTTTTCAACTGGTGACTGGAACACCTGAGAGAAAGAGTTGCCCATTCAACTGAAAAAAAGGGGACTGAAACAGTGAGCCAGGCAAGGAGATTCCCCAGCAAAAAAGCACCACAAGTCTCCAGCAGCTGTTTCAGCCAGTGCACCAGGTCTACACACAAGAAATCACACAAACCCAGGCACTGTTTCAACTGGTGACTGGCATGCCCAGGAGACAGAGTCAACTGAAAAAAAAAAGGGGTGGGGGTCTAAGACCAGGAGCCAGGTGATCAGGCTCAGCCAGTCCCACCCCCACAAAAAACAGTAATCTGAAACGCTCTGGATTGAGAGTTTCACAGCAAGCACAGCTGAACCCAGGATGGTCCAGCTCTGTGGGGAGGGGCATCTGCCATTAGCAAGGTAGTCCGCCATTGACGAGGCAGTCGACCATCATAGAGAGAGTCTGCCATTACAGAGGAGGGTCGCCATTGCTGAGGCAGTTCTAACTATATCCCTATAAACAGGACTGTAGGGAAGTTCACAGGGCAGCTGGGAAGAGCCCACAGCAGCTCAGCAAAGCCTCTGCAGGCAGACTGTCACTAGGCTGCCTCCTCGCTGGCCAGGGCAGCACTGAAAAAATGCAGCAGCACAACAGAAACTTATAAAGAAAGCCCTACCTCGCCGGGACAGCACCTCAGCAGAAAAAAAAAAAAGGTGTTTATGAGTTCTGTTGCAGCAGACTTAAACATACCTGCCCAGCAGCTCGGAATGGAACAATGGAGCTCACAGCTGAGCACTTGAGCTCCTATAAAGGACAAACTGTCTCCTCAAGCAGCTCCCTGACCCCCATATATCCAAAGAGTCACCTCATAAAGGAGAGCTCGGACTGACATCTGGCAGGTGTCCTTCTAGGACAAACATAGCAGAAGAAGAAACTGGCAGCAACCCTTACTGTTCTGCAGCTGCTGCAGGTGATCCCCAGGCAAGCAGGGCCTGGAGTAGACCTCATCAGTCCTATAGCAGAGGGGCCAGACTGTTAGAAGGAAAACTAAGAAACAGAAAGAAATAACTTAATCTTCAACAAACTGGACACCCATTCAGAGATCTCATCCCAAAGATAACAACTACAAAGACCAAAGATAAATAAATCCACAAAGATAAGAAGAAACCAGTGCAAAAACGATGAAAATATCGAAAACCAGAATGCCTCTCCTCCTCCAAGGGATCACAACTCCTCACCAGCAAGGGAACAAGGCTGGATGGAGAATGAGTCTGATGAATTGACAGAAACAGGCTTCAGAAGGTGGGTATAAACTTCTCTGAGCTAAATGAACATGTTCTAACCCAGTGCAAAGAAACTAAGAACCTTGAAAAAAGTTTTGACAAAATGCTAATGAGAATAAACAGCTTAGAGAGGAATAAAAATGAACAGATGGAGCTGAAAAACACAACACAAGAACTTCGTGAAGCATACACAAGTTTCAACAGCTGAATTGACCAAGAAGAAAGGATATCAGAGGTTGAAGATGAACTCAGTGAAATAAAATGTGAAGGCAAGATTAGAGAAAAATGGGTAAAAAGAAATGAGCAAAGTTTCCAAGAAATATGGGACTATGTGAAAAGACCTAATCTAGGTTTGTTAGGTATACCTGAATGTGAAGGAGAGAATGAATCCAAGCTGGAAAATACTCTTCAGAATATTAACCAGGAAAACTTCCCAAACATAGCAAGGCAGGCCAATATTTAAGTCCAGGAAATACAGAGAACACCACAAAGATATTCCTCAAGAAGAGAAACCCCAAGGCACATAATCGTCAGAGTCACCAGGGTTGAAATGAAGGAGAAAATACTAAGGGCAGCCAGAGAGAAAGGTCAGGTTGCCCACAAAGGGAAGCCCATCAGACTAACAGCAGATCTCTCAGCAGAAACCCTACAAGCCAGAAGAGAGTGGGGACCAATATTAAACATCCTTAAAGAAAAGAACTTTCAACCCAGAATTTCCTATCCAGCCAAATTAAGCTTCATAAGCGAAGGAGAAATAAAACCCTTTATGAACAAGCAATTACTCAGAGATTTCATCACCACCAGGCCTGCTTAACAATAGCTCCTGAAAGAAGCACTAAACATAGAAAGGAACAACCAGTACCAGCCACTCCAAAAACATACCAAATGGTAAAGGGCATCAACAAAAATGAAGAAACTGCATCAACTAACGGGCAAAACAGCCAGCTAGCATCAAAATGGCAGGATCAAATTCACACATAACAATATTAACCCTAAATGTAAATGGGCTAAATGCACCAATCAAAAGACACAGACTGGCAAATTGGATAAAAAACCAAAACCCATTAGTGTGCTGTATCCAGGAAACAGGTCACATGCCAGGATACACAAAGGCTCAAAATAAAGGGATGGAGGAAGATCTACCAATCAAATGAACAGCAAAAAAAAGCAGGAGTTTCAATTCTCGTCTCTGATAAAATAGACTTTAAAGCAACAAAGATCAAAAGAGACAAAGAAGGTCATTACATAATGGTAAAAGGATCAATACAACAAGAAGACCTAACGATCCTAAATATATATGGACTCGATACAGGAGCACCCAGATATATAAGGCAAGTTCTTAATGAATTACAAAGAGACTTCGACTCCCACACAATAATAGTGGGAGACTTTAGCACTCCACTGTCAGTATTAGACAGATCCACCAGACAGAAAATTAACAAGGATATCCAGGACTTGAACTCAGACCTGGAGAAAGCAAACCTGATCGACATTTACAGAACTCTCCATCCAGAATCCACAGAATATACATTCTTCTCAGCACCACATCACACCTACTCTAAAAGTGACCACATAATTGGAAGTAAATCACTCCTCAGCAAATGCAAAAGAATGGAAATCATAACAAACAGCCTCTTAGACCACAGGGCAATCAAGTTAGAACTCAGAATTCAGAAACTTAACTCAGAACTGCACAGATTCATGGAAACTGAACAATTAGCTCATGAATGTTGACTGGATAAACAATGAAATGAAGGCAGAAATAAAGATGTTCGTCAAAACCAACGAGATTGAAGACACAACGTACCAGAATCTTTGGGACACATTTAAAGCAGTGTCTAGAGGAAAATATACAGCAATAAATACCCACATGAGAAGCAAGGAAAGATCTAAAATCGACACCCTATTGTCAAAATTGAAAGAGCTAGAGGAGCAAGAAAAAAACTCAAAAGCTAGCAGAAGACAAGAAATAACTAAGATCAGAACAGAACTGAAGGAGATAGAGACACAAAAAACCCTTCAAAAAAATCAGTAAATCCAGGAGCTAGTGCTTTGAAAAGGTAAACAAAATAGACCACTAGCCAGATTAACAAAAAGGAAAGAGAATAATCAAATAGATGCAATAAAAAATGATAAAGGGGATATCACCACAGATTCCACAGAAATTCAAACCATCATCAGAGATTATTACAAACAACTCTATGCACATAAACTAGCAAACCTGGAAGAAATGGATAAATTCCTGGACACTTGCATCCTCCCAAGCCTAAATCAGGAAAAAGTCGAAACTCTGAATAGACCAATAACAAAGGCTGAAGTTGAGGCAGCGATTAAGAGCCTACCACCCAAAAAAAGCCCACGTCCAGATGAGTTCATAGCAGAACTCTACCAGACATACAAAGAAAAGCTGTTTCCATTCCTTCTGAAAATATTCCAAACAATCCAAAAAGAGGGAATGCTTCCCAAATCATTTTTTTTTTTTTTTTTTTGGTACCAAATTTTTTTATTTGAAGGAATGGTACAAAGAACTTAAGTGGATGTTTTGGTACAACTTATAGAAAAGGTAAAGGAAACCCCAATATGCATGCACTGCCTTGGTGACCAGGAAGTCACCCTGTGGCTATGGGGAAATTAGCCAAATTAGCCAAAGGCTTAGCTTTCATTATCACTGTCTCCCAGGGTGTGCTTGTCAAAGAGATATTCTGCCAAGCCAGATTGGGGTGCTCCCATCTTGTGCAAGTTGGTCACGTGGTCACCCAATTCTTTGATGGATTTCACCTGCTCATTCAGGTAATGCATCTCAATGAAGTCACACAAATGGGGGTCATTTTTGTCAGTGGCCAGTTTGTGCAGTTCCAGTAGTGACTGATTCACATTTTTTTCCAAATGTAATGCACACTCCATCGCATTCAGCCCGCTCTCCCAGTCATCATGGTCTGGTTTCTTGATATCCTGGAGGAAGATGCGGCCACCTCGTTGGTTCTGCAGCTTCATCAGTTTCTCGGCATGTTCCCTCTCCTCATGAGACTGGTGAAGAAAGTACTTGGCAAAGTTCTTCAAAGCCACATCATCTCGGTCAAAGTAGTAAGACATGGACAGGTAAACATAGGAGGCGTAGAGCTCCAGGTTGATTTGGTGGTTGATGGCGGCCTCTGAATCCTGGTGGTAGTTCTGGCGCACCTGTGAAGGTGATGCGGTCGTCATGGCGGCGGTTAAAGAGAGGCGGCGACGGCGGTGGCTGCGCGGCGCTGGAGAGGCGGGGGCCTTGGGACGATCCGAGGACACGGTGTGGAGGTGACGGAGGGCTGGCTGTAGGCGGCCGGCCGGGGTGGGGGACGAGCGCTGGGTTCCGTCCAAGCACTGTTGAAGCAGGAAACCGCGGCGACTCTTGGCGAAGAACGTCTGGCCCCCAAATCATTTTATGAGACCAACATCATCCTGATACCAAAACCCGGCAGAGACTCAACAAGAAAAGAAAACTTCAGGCCAATATCCATGATGAACATAGATGCAAAAATCTTCAATAAAATACTAGTAAACTGATTGCAACAGCACATCAAAAAGCCTATCTACCATGATCAAGTAGGATTCATCCTGGGGGATACAAGGCTGGTTTAACATACGCAAGTCTAAAAATGTAATCCACCACATAAACAGAACCAAAGACAAAAACCACATGATTACCTCAATTGATGCAGAGAAGGCCTCTGACAAAAATGCAACAGCTCTTTATGCTAAAAACCCTCAATAAACTAAGTATTGACGGAATGTATCTCAAATAATAAAAGCTATTTACGACAAACCAACAGCCAATATCATACTGAATGGGCAAAAACTGGAAGCATTCCCTTTGAAATCTGGCACTAGGCAAGGATGCCCTCTCTCACCACTCCTATTCAATAGAGTACTAGAAGTTCTAACCAGAGCAATCAGGCAAGAAAAAGAAATAAAGAGTATTCAATGAGGAAAGGAAGAAGTCAAATTGTTGCTATTTGCAGAAGACATAATTGTATATTTAGAAGACCCCATCTTCTCAGCCCAAAATCTCCTGAAACTGATAAGCAACTTCAGCAAAGTCTCAGGATACAAAATCAATATGCAAAAATCACAAGCATTCCTATACACCAATAGCAGACTTAAAGAGAGCCAAATCAAGAACGAACTGCCTTTCACAATTGCTACAAAAAGAGTAAAATAGCTAGGAATACAACTAAGAAAGAATGTAAAGGACCACTTCAAGGAGAAATACAAACCACTGCTCAATGAAATAAGAGAGGACACAAACAGATGGAGAAATATTCCATGCTCATGGTTAGGAAGAATCAATATTGTGAAAATGGCCATACTGCCCAAAGTAATTTACAGATTCAACGCTATCCCCATCAAGCTACCAATGACCTTCTTCACAGAACTGGAAAAAACCACCTTAAACTTTCTATGGAACCAAAGGAGAGCCCACATAGCCAAATCAATTCTAAGCAAAAAGAAAAAAGCTGGAGGCATCACACTATCTGACTTCAAACAATACTACAAGGCTACAGTAATCAAAACAGCATGGTACTGGGACCAAAACAGAGATATAGACCAAAGGAACAGAATAGAGGCCTCGGAGGCAACACCACACATCTACAACCATCTGATCTTTGAAAACCTGACAAAAACAAGCAATGGAGAAAAGATTCCCTGTTTAATAAATGGTGTTGGGAAAATGGCTAGCCATGTGCAGAAAGCAGAAACTGGACCCCTTCCTGACACCTTACACTAAAATTTACTCTACATGGATTAAAGACTTAAACAGAAGACCTAACACCATAAAAACCCTAGAAGAAAATATAGGCAAAACTATTCAGGACATAGGCATAGGCAAGGACTTCATGACTAAAACACCAAAAGCATTGGCAACAAAAGTCAAAATAGACAAATGGGACGTAATCAAACTCCACAGCTTCTGCGTGGCACAAGAAACAGTCATTAGAGTGAATCAGCAACCAACAGATTGGGAAAAAATTTCTGCAGTCTACGCATCTCACAAAGGGCTGATATCCAGAATCTACAAAGAACTAAAACAGATTTACAAGAAAAAAAGAAACAATCCCACTCAAAAGTGGGCGAAGGATATGAACAGACACTTTACAAAAGAAGACATACATGAGGCCAACAAACATATGAAAAAATGTTCATTATCACTGGTCATTAGAGAAATGCAAATCAAAACTACATTGAGATAATATCTCACACCAGTTAGAATGGCGATCAATAAAAAATCTGGAGACAGATGCTGGAGAGAATGTGGAGAAATAGGAACACTTTTACACTGTTGGTGGGAGTGTAAATTAGTTCAACCACTGTGGAAGACAGTGTGGCGATTCCTCAAGGACCTAGAAATAGAAATTCCATTTGACCCAGCAATCCCATTATTGGGTATATATCCAAAGGATTATAAATCGTTCTATTATAAGGACACATGCACACAAATGTTCCCTGCAGCACTGTTTATAACAGCAAAGACTTGGAACCAACCCAAAGGCCCATCGACGATAGACTGGACAGAGAAATCGTGGCACATATACACCATGGAATACTATGCAGCCATAAAAAACGATCAGTTCGTGTCCTTTTTAGGGACATGGATGAACCTGGAAACCATCATCTCAGCAAACTGACACAAGAAGAGAAAATCAAACATTGCATGTTCTCACTCATAGGTGGGTGTTGAACAATGAGAACACATGGACACAGAGAGGGGAGCATCATACACTGGAGTCTGTCGGGGGTGAAGCAGGGGAGGGACAGCGGAGGGTGGGGTGTTGGGGAGGGATAACATGGGGAGAAATGCCAGATATAGGTGGTGAGGAGGAAGGCAGCAAACCACACTGCCATGTGTGTACCTATGCAACAATCTTGCATGTTCTTCATATGTACCCCAAAACCTAAAATGCAATAAATAAATAAATAATAAAAGAAATAGAAAAAGAAATATTCACATAGCAGATGGTCACACAGGAGATTTCACCAGGGACTGGAGAACAGGTAGATCAGCAAAAGAGAGAGAAAATAAACACTGAAAAATTCATAAGTATATGGGGATATGAATGTCATCTAATCTAAAGCATGTGATCTTCTTGAGAAAGTATGCTTTTCCCAGTCTGATGTTTTTCCTTCTAGGTGGAAAGAACTTGTTTCATTTATTTTCAGGCCTCTCTAAGCACTTTTACTCAATATAACTCAGGGCACACTGTAAATAAAGAATTTTAGCTTCCAGTTGCCACTCCTTTATTTTGATCTTACTCTATTAGTAACTCATATGGGCACCACAAGTGTTATTAAATGGGTCACCTTACAGGCCCCTATACATGTGGGCCTCTCTAAAGCTAGACTTCAATTATGTCTTCTTAATACACTAAATTTCTTACTGTCTCATCCACCTCCCTACCCACATATTTGCTACCGCTCTCCCTTCTTGCTATTTTAGAGCTAGGTCTGAGCCCATTCAATTTTTAAATCTCTACAGCACCTAACACATTGACTGGGTTATAGCAAGTGGTCAGTAAGCATTTATTGAATGAACTAAAGATATATAAACAGACCAAACTATCTCCTTCAGAACTTTCATTTATGCATTTATGTTTATCAAAATTTTAAAAAATAGGTCACTCTTTCTTTACACTTTTTTTTTTTTTTTTTTGAGACAGAGTTTTACTCTTGTTACCCAGGCTGGAGTGCAATGGTGCGATCTCAGCTCACCGCAACCTCTGCCTCCTGGGTTCAGGCAATTCTCCTGCCTCAAGCCTCCTGAGTAGCTGGGATTATAGGCATGCACCACCATGCCCAGCTAATTTTTTGTATTTTTAGTAGAGACGGGGTTTCACCATGTTGACCAGGATGGTCTTGATCTCTTGAGCTCGTGATCCACCCGCCTCGGCCTCCCAAAGTGCTAGGATTACAGGCATGAGCCACCGCGCCTGGCCTTCTTTACTCTTTTATCAGTTTTTTCCTTCTAAGAGACAAGGTCTTGCTCTGTCACTCAGGCTGGAGTGGACTGGTATCAACGTGGCTCACCACAGCCTTTAAATCCTGGGCTCAAACAATCCTCCTGCCTCAGCCTCCCTAAGTAGCTGGGACTATGTGTATGTACACTGCACTGGGCTAATTTTTAAATTTTTTGTAGAGACAGGGTCTGGTTTTGTTGCTCAGGCTAATGTCAAACTCCTGGCTTGATCCTCCCTCCTCAGTCTCCCAAAGTGCTGGGATTACAGGCATGAGCTACCATGCCTGGCCTCATCTATTTTTTATTTCTAAATAACACCACTATTCATTGGAAAAGGTGGAAAAAAAATAAGTGATAATTAGAATAAGTTGGCCAGGTGCACTAGCTCATGCTTGTAATCCTAGGACTTTGGGAGGCCAAGATAGAAGGATTACTAGAGCCTAGGAGTTCAAGACCAGCCTGGACAACATAGTAAGACCCTGTCTCTAAACTTAAAAAAAAATTAGAACAGGTGACTTCAAAAGCTTTTGAAGCACTATGTGGTTTAGGAGTTCTTTGTCCACAATCACCCAATAAAGACAGCCTTATGTAAATTTTCTAAGTGAACCAAATAACCAAAAATCTTATTTTAATGCTAGAAGAATGTTCTAACATTCCTTCCTTCTGTGGAGACATGCTGGGTCTCCACAGAACTCCAGTTACTTATATAGGTGTTTATCCCCACTGCAACCCCACACCCTAAATGACTGAGAGCTTCTTGAAGACACTAAATAAATATACATCAAATTGAGCTGAATGGGACTATACAAAGGAATGGCAAAATGGAAAACCAGATACCAAAAAAGTTTCTTAGAGCGAGACTCCCCTGGTATTTTCAGTTTTAATATATTTTCTTTTCTTTTCTCTTTTTTTATTTTTTGAGATGGAGTTTCACTCTTGTTGCCCAGGCTGGAGTGTAGTGGCACAATCTCGGCTCACCGAAACCTCCACCTCTTGGGTTCAAGCGATTCTCCTGACTCAGCCTCTCAAGTAGCTTGGAACTACAGGCGCCCACCACCACACCTGGTTAATTTTTCTATTTTTAGTAAGATGAGGTTTCACCATGTTGGTCAGTTTTAATATATTTTCTAAATAGCTGATTCAACCCATAGTTTTTCTACTTTTAGTAACAACGTTTTTAAAGACAAGCTATACACAGTTGAAGTAGTCTCATCATATAAACTCATTTAAACATGTAGAACACATTTATATTAATTACATGTATAGAGTCATTCTTCAAACAAAGGTTCATGAACAGTGTTAATAACTTGATGGTACTGAATAAAATTAGAGATAATCAAAGGAGAAAATGATTGTGATTTCCCATCTTACGTAGTTCTGCCTCCTGCCCTGCCTATAATCTCTATGATGATGGAT